TTTTTGGGTTTTAATTCCAAAAATCTGGGAAAGGTCTACTGAGACTGGTTGAGAAACCAGATCTATGGCTTCCTCCGGTTGCGACTCAATAAAAATGATCTCTAGGTTATCCATCTTTGTATACAGTTTACTAGTTTCTGTAATAGCTTATAGCTGTGAGTAGCTATTATATAGGCAGTCAACTATAGGACAGTGTTAGGAATACAAAACAGAGAAGGAATTTACACAGAATAGTAAAAAAAGGTTTAAGGTCATCGAGGTCCTTTTACCTGTAAATGCTTGGAAAAAAAACTACCTCTAAACTATTACATCAGAATCATTTCAAGGAGATGAAATACCTGTTTAAGGGTTGTTTTGAATCGCAGCATGGAACCAATAGAATAAACAAGTACATTTTAAATAAGAGAGAGGAAAATGAGCATGAGTCAGAGGGAGGGTCGAACGATAAATTTTATTTGAGAGAGAGAGGATCGATATCGATTTGAGAAAATTTACAGAGGAGAAAAGCAAATTTAGTTTACATTTTCACCGATAGGTGGCGCCACCAAGTAGTAAAGGATAAGGGTTGATCGTATATTTACTATACGAAGTATTAATTTTTGTATTCATCATATAATTTTATGTTTTGATTGCTCCTCCTATACATGGTTCTTAACACTGAAATTATTTTCTAAAGGATTATGTTAATATCAGATACTGAAACCATTTACCAATTATTTTCCTAATTCCTAATTCAATATATAATAAAATTTCCTATAAGTATTTACTTTAACATGAGCATGGCAAATATCTGATGTTGAAACCATTTATTTTCTAATTCAATATATAATAAAATATCCTATAAGTATTTACTTTAACATGAGCATGGCAAATATCTGATGTTGAAACCATTTATTTCCAAATTCAATATATAATAAAATATCCTATGAGTATTTACTTTAACATGATCAAATTAGAAATCGATATCCATTTAAAACAACATGCTGCACAACCAACATGTTGCACATATAGAAATAGATGGCGCTTATTTTGGAAAGCAGCATGCTGTACATCCAGAAGCAACATGTTGCGAATTTGTTATTTTCAGCTAATCACGCTGCACTCCCTTATCCTTTACTACTTGGTGGCGCCACCTATCGGTGAAAATGTAAACTATATTTGCTTTTCTCCTCTGTACATTTTCTCAAATCGATATCGATCCTCTCTCTCTCAAATAAAATGTATCGTTCGATCCTCCCTCTGACTCATGCTCATTTTCCTCTCTCTTATTTAAAATGTACTTGTTTATTCTATTGGTTCCATGCTGCGATTCAAAACAACCCTTAAACAGGTATTTCATCTCCTTGAAATGATTCTGATGTAATAGTTTAGAGGTAGTTTTTTTTCCAAGTATTTACAGGTAAAAGGACCTCGATGACCTTAAACCTTTTTTTACTATTCTGTGTAAATTCCTTCTCTGTTTTGTATTCCTAACACTGTCCTATAGTTGACTGCCTATATAATAGCTACTGGCATACGACTGCCATAATCCCTCCATCCTATTCTGCTGGGAATGTGGCAAACGCGGCACACGGACCGTAAATTGCTGCCGCCAAAACACGTCGGGAAACGACATGCGTCCCCAACTGACACGGGATCAGCCGGGAACGACGCCTCCTCCAACCCGCGACTAAATAACTCTCTACACGTAAGCAACGGCCGGATAGTGGCGATGGTGACCATAGGAGGACACGCAACGGAAGCCACAATCGACACCGGGGCATCCAGAAGCTTCATCAGCGCAAACCTCGCCCGACAACTAGACAACAACACCAACCTGCAAGATGCATGCGTCCGCATACGCCTGGCCGATGGCTCGGTCAGAGAGATCTCACAAGTTCTACTGGCGCACATCAAGCTGGATCAACGAGAGGTTCAAATCCCGCTCCTGGTCCTGCCAAACATGTTGGGACAAGTTATTGTTGGCATGGACTTCCTAGGTGCCACCGAAACGACGATCCAATGCGGCTCCACGCTGCTACAGCTACGAGACTGTCACCCCATGCCCACTGAACCCGTGCTTACTACCATCCACGTACAAGACGCCGAACCCCGATACCAGAAACCCCAACAAACCGCAACGAACCCACGTCCACGACCTACCACAACGCACACGGCACCCAATAACGCAACGCAGCACTTGACACCCAAACCAATCGCAACGAATACGAAACGCCGGCCCACAACGGAGAACACGAATCCGAGGCCAACACAAGCCAACCACAACCAAGCAATCGGGAAAACGAGTCCCACGGTCACTACTGAGCAACCGCGTCCTAGGCCAACCACAGGGGGCACACAGCCCAAACAAACCACGAGGATCTCACACACGAGACAAACAGACTTGAACCCGGCGCTCGACACAGGAAGCCCAGGTCCAAGACAAGCAACAGAGCAAGCACGCAGAGAAACCGCATCGGAAGCAGGGAACGCACGGACACCCTCAAAACCGACCGCCAGCAGCGAAAAAGGACAACGGCCACCACCATCCGACCGCCCAGCCACACGGGAAACAGCCACGCTAACCCCACGCTGGACGGGGCCCATAATCGAACTGATCTCCACAGAGCCCCTCAACGAGGGCCCGGAAACCAGCACGATGCCCCCACGATGCCCAGACAGCCGTCCGGTCCTCCCCACGGCCGACGCCACACCGATCCTCGCCAACACAATGGAGTACCTTCCGCGTACTGACATGATTCCTAGCGCCATGCAACGAGCCATGCCTAGAGCCATGTCCGAGATCTTCGTCGCCCACGCAAGTCGTCGCTGCGACACAAGAGGCATCACCGAGACTCACCTGTTCATGCGCCAAACGACCACCAGTACCACCCACGTATTACATCAGAGATATGAAACATATCTACCCACGGTCGACACCACACCCATCGTCGCCCACATAAGCGACTACCAACGGAGGATCGAAACACCCAGCGCCTTCGACACAACCCTCTTACCCGAAGACCCCAGCCAGCCATTTGACTTCGAAGCCGCCGATCCAACCGGACATGAGCCCGAACCAGTCCCGGAGCCGTGGCCGCCGGACTTGGCCCCGCAGATCCAAGCATTTACATTCGACAGACCCATCCTACCGAAAGACCCGAATCAAACCTTTGACCCCGGAGCCACCGAAGACGACCCAAAACTACCGACGGATCCTTGGCCACCCGACATAGCACCGCCGATCCAAGAATGCCTGGACAAGGAACGACCGAAGAAAACCGCCGAGAAAACCATCGTCATATGGGATAATCGACCCACCAAGCAGACACCAACTACAAAGCACCCAGAACCGAAGAAAAACTTCCACGATCACAGCAGCAGTAGAAAATATAACGTTACCGACGCCACGCTAAAGTGACGAGATTAACACCGACGAATCCAAAGACTCTTCACAAGCCAAAGGACAGGATAACCCGGTAAAAAGGCGATCCTCAGCACCCGCCAAGCGACGCCACTAATCTCTCCATCACCCACCCGGTAGAAAGGGGGGGGGGTGTAACGAACCATGGTTCTAGCCATGGCTCGTCACAAACGGCGGAGGGTCAGCACATCCACGCCGGCGGAAGACAATAACAAAACTGATATACACAGAACAGAAGAACCATGGCTCTAGCCACGGTTCTCCACCAATATTGTGTGTCAGCACCCCGGAAATAAGAATAGTCTTAAGCAACGCACGCAATTACAATTAATTAAGAACTCTCGATCAACAACACCCCACCTCTTGAGACAATTGTGAAATCAGCCGTCTACAATGTCGCAATAAGCCAAGCCGACACAGTTTCGCAATAAGAGATATCATTGGCGTTATTTCACAATAAGTCAAGCTAGCATAAAATTATCGACCTACCGACCCAAATTCAGATATCACCTTTCCCAACTGCAGCCCGCACCTTCCGGGATGCAGCCTCAGCAAAACCACCCTGACCCACTAAGCAATTGTCAACGAAGCACCCAGCTTCGATCCACTTACAACGCCCCACAATTATTGTCACCCAATAATCAAAAGTTAGCAATAAGCAATTATTTCCGGATCTCAGGTGCGATCGCCAGCTGCATAAAAGGGCCAAGATCGGCCGAAAGAGTAGGCAGTCCATCAGCCCGAACACAAGACACTGCACTAGGCAGTCCATCAGCCCGAACACAAGACACTGCACTAGGCAGTCCATCAGCCCGAATACAAGATACAGGCAGTCCATCAGCCCAAACACAAGACACTGCACAAGGCAGTCCCTCAGTCACACACCCAAGACACTGTACTACGCAGTCCCTCAGTCACACACCCAAGACACTGCACTAGGCAGTCCCTCAGCCCAAACACAAGACACTGCAACCCCCAGTCCAACGGCTCAAAGGCAAGGTAATAAGATCCGCAAGTAATCCATCGTACACAAACCCACAAAGAATTAAGTAATAAAATAATAAACACCAACAAAACCAAAACGACGATTTTCTTGAAGTATTTTTTTGTCAGCAACAAAACGCTCCTCCTGCGTCCTACCTCTCTTTCGGCCGCTCCGAACCTAAAAGTCACCTGCGATCTACAAATTGTCTTGTAGTGGACCCTGGACAGACTGATGCATACCTCAGCCTGAAATAGGACCCTCACAACCTTTCCCACGCGCTCTGCCTGGGGGTATGCAAGGCTTTGCGGGAACGTGCAAATTCTTGCACCCTGACAGCTGCTGCTTGCTACGGTGGAAGTGTAGCCGATATGTGCCAGCTGGAAGTTTTTCCACTATGCAGCACTGTCCGTCACAGTCAGCTGTTGGGCGAGTCGGCGAGGAAGGAAAAATGCAAGATTGCGCGTGGAAATAGTTTGTTGTTGTGTCCTGCTAGGAGAACACAAGAGAGAGGGTGGACAGAGTTTGTGTGTCAGGAAGAATGACAGGCGGAGACGCACTGAACGAGGACATGCGCAGTGGATACAAGACATAGCCGAGACACAAACCCCATAAACAATCGATTCTTTGTCTATTTAATAAGCTCGATTACATGCCCATTCGATAAATGATGCGAGAGGGAAATTTGGAAATAGAAACTGGTAAAAGGATTAACGAACAAAGATCACTGATCAATAGAGACGCAGATACTGCAGAGCCTGGCGACTCTGCATGGGATACAAGTCCCCCACATTGTACATAAGGTCGACAACGTGGGTGGGGCGCAACATGCGCCAGGGCATGAACTGAAGGGTCTTCTTGTCGCAGTGAACGTCCTGGTCGATCATCAGCGGCATCGGCACCTCGTTGTACAGCATTCGGCCGTCAACGCTGCGCTCCAGAGTACAGGGAAGGCCGATCTGATCGGCCAGCGCCTTGAAGAGGATGGCGCGCTCGAACTGGCAGCCACTGCGCACCATGCCAAGGGGTATGAAGTTGGTGTGATAGACAAAGCGCAGCTCCTGCAGATGGCATCGCACCGCGTGGCGGGAACACTCCTCCGTCGAGTTGAGGTCGAGAATTTTAAGGTTCTCATTCATCACATTTTCGACGATCTCGGCAATGATCTTGCTGCGCTTCGCCACGTTATCAAAATCGATGGCGCTGCGCACCTTTGCCGGATTCTCCACCAGACCGTGTATCTAGGACGGATCAGATGAATCAGATGGGGGACATGGTTAGTAGTTTGTTAGGGATCAGATGAAATAGACCCACCGTCAGGGATTGATTGAGGGTCTCCAGATATTTTGGAAGATTGGGATCGGCAGGACGCTTGCAGTAGCACCAGGAATGATCACCGGCACCATCGGATATCGGAATGCAGAAGGACGGAACTTTCATCAGATCCTCCTCATCCGCCTCCAAACGGTCAAAGTTGACCACCAGAACGGACTCTAGGGGGGAGCAGTCGCTGCGTAGAATGTCCTGGAAGGTGCGGAAGTCGTCAAACTTCTTACGGGACACATAAAAGTCCTTGCCGGCGGTGATATCGGTGAAGGTCAGGCAGTTTCGAATGCAGAACTTCATCGTGGGGCACTTGGAGAGGATGCTCTCGATGGCCGGTCCCCAGGTGGACACGCAGAAGGCATGCTTTTGGAACAGCATCAGGCTAAGATTGGCAGTTGGAAATATGTTAAGGCAGTTGTATGAGACAGTTGAGCGACTCGCTTACACTTCCAGAATGCCGCGATCTATGTAGGCGTCGATAAACTCACTGAAGCGTGTTGTCTGTAGTATAAAGTTGGTCACTGCCGTCTTGACCAGATTGGAGAGCGACTTCAGAGCCCGCTTGATGGAGGACACAATGTAGTTCTCCAGCAGCACCTCCCGCACGTCTTCCTCATCGACGATGGTGCATAGGCAACGGAAGATGTTGTTCACAAGTATAGAATGGGCGTAGGAGCGCTGTGAGGAGTAGATGCGATGTTGTACAGACGCAAATAGCCACACAATGATGGACTGCCTTACCATCAATAGTTGAGCAATCTGCTCGGTGAGCGGACGATGCTCACCCAGGACTGTTCGGTACTCCTCGTTCTGGCCCAGACTCTCGATGATAACCAGAAGCGAGAGGATCAAATCAATGGAGAGAGTAGGCAGGCCCTGCTGAATGGTGCCCGTGAGGACGCCTGGAATGTCCAGGTCCATTAGCTGCCCGGCAGTCTCGCGGTAGGCTCCGATCAGAAGTCGATTGCTAAACTCTGCTGCCTGCTCCCTGGTCTTGATGATCACCTCCGTGGACTGGATAATGGACACCAGCTTCTTTAGAGCTCCGACATCATATTCGGCCACAATTCGACGCAGTGCCTCCGGATGATCAGCCATGCGGTTGAGGCCAAGGATCACAAAGGTAGCCGGTGCCGGATCGTTCTCCATGAGACAGCTGAGGAACATGTCCGTGATCTCGGCACTGTGCATCCGCGCCAGATACTGCACGTACTTGGCCGTTTCCGCGAAGATGGATATGATGGTGCAGCGCAGCTCCAGCGACAAGATATCGATTTGGTCCTTCAAATGCTCGACGATAAGGTCGAAGAGGTTATGCTCAAAGAACAGCTTGGTCATCTTCTCGGACCGGAGAGCCGTAGCCAGCACCTCAATGATCTCGACCGCATCCGATCCCTGGGGATTTTCGCAAAATGCTTTGACCAGCTGCTCGATGACATAGAAGCAGCGATGCAGCGGCTCAAACACGCTCTGGTTACTGGTGTCCACAAGGAGGGTCTTCAATACCTTTAGGGACGCAATGCGAATCTCCTGAAATGTGTTGGTCACCTCGCAGATAATGCGATCGATGGGAAAGTCGGGAAGCATCGTAAAATCCAACATCTCCTCGGCACTCTGGATCAGCAGAATCTTGTGTACGGCCTCGATGGAGTTAAACATGGTGTCGGGATTCTCGGAGGTGGCAATAACGGACTTGAACTTCTGCAGAAGTTCCTCTTTCTCCACCATTCCCTGGGCCACTTTGGGATCGCGCAAACACATGTTCAGCAGGTGCGAGAGATATTCGATGCAGAATTCGTCGGTTTCATTCAAGTAGAATGCATAAGCCACCTCCAGAATGCCTTCCGTCTTCTCGGGATCGAGCGTGTTCATGTCTGTACTGTCCAGCAAAGCGGTGATGAGATATAAAGCGAAGCGTCGGATCATAACGTTCTCCGCCTCAATGAAGATCTTCTTTTCCAGAAGCAGCTCCAGCATTTGGTGCTCCTTCAGCTCCAGAATATTCTCATCCTGGCGCCGCGTAAATTCCATGATGTGACTGAAGACGCTCAACAGGACGCATTCCTCTTTGGAGCTGAGCAGCAGCAGAGCCGTGTTCAGGGTCTTGATGAGGACATTTAGGTCAGAGAAAGACTTCTCCTCGGATTTTGTGCGGTCCGGGTAGTTGGAGCGGGGTTCGTAAACTTTCTTCGTTACTTTTGACATATTTAGTTGAATATTTTGTTGGCGTATTATAACGGATTTTATATACTAAATATTTCTCACAGATTGCTTTATTTGTTAAAAGATATATTGATGAATCGATTGTGAAGGGATGGCTTTTGAGTAGTATAGTTAGTAGTGTTTGTTGGATATAATAAGTTGCCTTCCGTTTGTGCCTTGAAGGTTGTTTGATGTGTTTTGCTCGCGCTCCGGAAAAAAAAAAGGGAAAGAACAAATCTTTGGTCCAAAATTAAATTCATCAACACGGAATACTAGCCGGTTGTTTGTTTAATCGAGCTTCTTATATAAATATTAAATAAATTTGAAGGATTACAATTTTATTAAAGGATTAAGGTGAGTCTTGTGAACTGAAAGTTTTGGTGAAGCAGAGTGTGAAAGTGGCTGACGCCATGGCGTCAAGCCAGAATTGTGAGTCGATGGAGGATATCTCGTCTGATATGGAAGAGTCATCTGATTTCTCAGCACCGGACAATTCCGGTAAAGCAATTAAGAGAAACGCGATAAATGACTTAAAAGACATGCTTCATACTGAAGTTGTTCAGAAAACTGGTGTTCCAGCAGATGTTGAGACAAGGATTAAGCAAGGGAAAATAAATACAAGTGATGACTCAGCAAATCAAACAAAAAGGGACGGAAGTATGAGTATGACGTTAGTTTTTTTGGCGAAGCGGCTGTCATATTTAACACTGGTCAGGTTGAAAATATTCAAAATATTAGGGTTAAGAATGGTCTGTTCTTCTACGAAAAAATTAAAGGGCTAAAGCTGCCAGGGCTTTGCAATATTGTTGCTTTAGGCATTTCATCTTACAAGGTATAATTCCAGAATGGAAAGTTTGCAAATGAGGCTGTGAGGAACGTTAATTTAAAAAGCATGAACATATCTATCAGCGTATATACCAGGGGATTATGTAGAAACATATGGAGTTATTAAAAATATCCCTGTTGAAATAACAGATGAAGTAATACTGATGAACATCAAGTCGGACGTTCCTGTTAAGTCGGTGACTAGATTAAGACGCAAGGTAAAATCAGAGACAGGGGCTACTGAAGTAGTGTGGGAACCCACTCTATCAGTGAAAATTGGTTTTTCAAATGTAGAAATCCCATCTCATGTTGTTTTGAATTACTGCAGACTAGAAGTTTCTCATTTTACAATTTTACAAATATTTTACAATGTTTGAACTGTGGACGTATTGGTCACGGTTCACGAACGCAAAGAAGCGTTGTCTACGTTGTGGTGCGCCGGAGTGCACATCTCCAAATTGTCAGGTGTACAAATGCATTTTATGTAACAGTAATGTAAGGAAGCGATCTAGGCCGGGGTACAACTCTCAGTCAGGCCAGGGTCGAAATTACAGAAATATTTATAATTTGCCGGGACTCCGAGTCTTGAGCCACCAACGGGGCGGAGAGTGGGTCTCGTGGCGGGGAATCGTGGAATTGTTCCCAGGGGGAGAGAGCTGGGAAGTCGCCGGGCGGCACCTCTGGGAAGCTACGGGCGGGAAATCGGGAAAATTATTCCCAGAAGGCACCTGGGCAGTCGCCGGGCGGCACCTCTGGGAAGCTACGGGCGGGAATCAGGAACATTATTCCCAGAAGGCACCTGGGCAGTCGCCGGGCGGCCCCTCTGGGAAACTACGGGCGGGCTACAGGGAACATTATTCCTAGAGGGCACCTGGGCAGTCGCCGGGCGGCCCCTCTGGGAAACTACGAACGGGAAATAGGGAACATTATTCCTAGAGGGCACCTGGGCAGTCGCCGGGCGGCACCTCTGGGAAGCTACGGGCGGGAAATCGGGAAAATTATTCCCAGAAGGCACCTGGGCAGTCGCCGGGCGGCACCTCTGGGAAGCTACGGGCGGGAATCAGGAACATTATTCCTAGAGGGCACCTGGGCAGTCGCCGGGCGGCCCCTCTGGGAAACTACAGTGCGTGGGGAGAAGTATGGAGGAACCATCTGTTGCGCGTATTACCATCGCTGTTCCCTGCTTGCTCAAAAGAAATCCCACACGACTTCACAAAATAATCCCAACAAAAGAAGTCAAGACGGCGATTTTGACGTTTGATTAATTATTTATTCCTGGCCTTTTCCTGGCTCGTGGACCCTGCCTACCGCACCGCTCAGCTGCCCGCCTACTCACGACGGTGAGACTCGCTTACCCTCAATCCTTGCGTTCGAGTTCTTCCTTGTTGTGTCCCCGGGCGGGAGATCGTCGTCCTCTCCTCTGGCCGATGCACGCGTGGAGCCGTGCGTGTCGCCGTCTGCCTTCCGTGCGCCGTTTTTTTTTCTTGCGCTAACTTTTCGCGCCCGTCTGCCTTGTTTTGCACTCTAGCACCGACTCTCCCACGATCTCTTACGCTCGCCATCTCGAACCTCATTGCCGGTCTCTCGACTTCGTTTTCCTCTTCGCTATACGCCCACGCTCTCTCTCTCTCTGTGGGCTCGTCGCTGATATTTGTTGCGGTCGCCGTTGTTCTCACGCTCTCTTGTCGGTTTCACGTTGGTATGGGTGGCCGAGCTTTGGTTTCGTCTTCTTCGTTCGGGCTCTCTCTCGCTCTGTGGGCTCGTTGCTAATATTCGTTGCGGTCGCCGTTGTTCTATTTGTTTTATTTATTTACTTATTTCCTAGTGCGACAAGAAAGTTTCTTATAAATTAATGCACTAGTCACAAAACATGAAACGTTAAAGGAAATTAATTCTTTGTTTGGTTGTTAGTCGATATGATTAACCTACTTAGCCTATTTATATTTTTATGTTCATTTTTTGATTTTTTATTTATTTAATTTATAGTTTCATTATTGATTGTAGTGGGAGATCCTTGCCTGCTTTTCTCGTCCTTCACTTCTGGTGGCTCTTGGGATTTAGGTGCCCAAACAATAAGAAGAAGATGTATGTATTTGCGGAAAATGATGCGCGTGCGCGTTGTGCTTTATTCCAAGGTCTGATTTCAACTAACTCTGGTATGATTAAGCTTAAATCTAATGAGCACTGAAGAGGCCGCTCCAAAAGCTTTCATGCTTCGGGAGCATAAGCTTGCAGCCTATGGGCTGCATCGGTGCCTACTTTGCGGCCTAAACATCACCCCCCCTTGCAATATAGTTGCAAAGAAAAATAGGAACGGGGAAGGGCCGCCTTTCTCTGTTCACACGGTGTTGCAAGTGCCAGAGAGAGTCCACCCGAACACCGTGTTCTGCGCAACTGGGAAGCCGTCCGTGCTTGGGACCACTCCTGGAAGAATCACCTTTGGATAGACGTCGGCTCCTAGTACCAAGGAAATGGTACATGGCCGATGGAATTGAGCATCCGCCAGGTCCATGTTGGCGAAGTGCTCCTTTACGTGGTCTCCCAGGGGTCTCGTCGGTGTTCGTATCTGGAGCTGAGGCTCCACCGTCAGGACCACCTCTAGCCTGACATCGCTCTTCACCTTAGAAAGGATGAAGGTGGTGCAAGCACCACTGAAGGAGCGATGTCAGCGTCGTTGGAGGAGCAGCGGATCTGGAGCGCGATCTCGCTGTGGGCGAGCTTGCCTTCGGCACAGTCGAGCGAGCCTTGAGACGTGGAGTCCGCTGTTATCCCTCTAGGTGGAGGAGAGTGTGGTGGTTCTTCCCGCAAACCCGGCACGTGTCGCCGCTTCGGCATGAGCTCCCTGAGTGTTGGTGGGCCAGGCAATTGTGGCAGTACTTATTGATGATCACTGCCCGTAAACGCTTTTCGGCACTTAGCGTGAGGAACCGCTGGCATTTGCGTAGAGCGTGGACTCCACGGCAGACCCGACAGCGAAAACAGTCCGATCCTCTGGGCTGGCTGCGCGTTAATGGACGACGACGAGGAGTCATGCTTGGAAAAAAAGAGATGTGGAAGATTAGTGGTTGGATCTTACGCACCGGCCAACAAACGACACATTAGCTAATTGGATACTTGGACGTGGACATTGCTCTCTACAGGAAGAAGGATGAGCTTTGCTACTGGCCGCTTAATGGTCCCACGGACAGTTAACACATCGACCACGCGGACCATGCCATCGACCCCGGGATGAGGTTCGTTCAATCCTTTTCGAGCTTTGCCTTATTTCGTTTCTCTTTCTTTCTGGCTCGCGCAATTGAAACCAGCGGGCCGCCAATCAAAAAGTGGCCTGGACTTAGGGCTAGAAGCTCATTTGGATCTTCTGACATAGGGGAAATGGCCCGCGAATTCAAGCACGCTTCGATTTTGGAAAGGAGGGTCGACAGTTCTTCGAAAGTATACTTCCATGTTGAGGTGGACTTGTAGAAAAGCGTCTTGAAACTTTTCACACCCGCTTCCCACAGGCCACCCATGTGAGGTGCGCTTGGAGGGTTAAAGTGCCACGTGAGGTGCTGCTGCGGATATGTTGCAAGAACACTTGCTCTGGTGGCGACCAGAAAATCGTGGGAAAGGGCTTTTTCAGCTCCGACAAACGTCTTCCCATTATCGGAACACATTTTCTGAGGGCAACCTCGCCTTGCTACGAACCGATTAAAAGCTGCAAGGAACTTTTCGGTTGTGAGATCAGAGGTTGCTTCCAAATGGATCGCCTTCGTGCTGAAGCACACGAAGACACACACATACCCTTTGGTGATGCGGCAAGCTCGACCTGCGTACGTATTGATCTCGAATGGTCCAGCGAAGTCGACACCTGTACGAGTGAATGGACGAGAGAACGTTGTCCTCTCTTCGGGCAAGTCTCCCATAAGCTGGGTTTGCAACTTTCTGCGATGGACCACACAGACCTTACAGGAGTTTATCGTTGTTTTGACTAAGGTCCGTAGTTTCGGAACCCAGTATTTGGATCGGATGAGCCGCATCACTAATTGGTTCCCCCCATGCATGGTGACGCGATGAGTGAACCGAACGAGGAGACGTGTAAATGCGCTTGAATACGGGAGAATGATCGGGTGCTTCTCATCATAGCTTAGGGACTCCGATGTTCTCACACGACCGCATGCTCTTATGACCCCGTGTTGGTCGATAAATGGATTCAAGTTAATGATGCAGCTAGACGTAGGAAGAGGCTGCTTTTTTAGCAAGTGCC